GGGCTCTCGTCAGCGCTCCCGGGCACGTAGGAACTCAGGAAAGCATACTTACTCATGCAATCAATACCAGCATCAACGAACTTCGCCAACACCGGATCCTCCAGTCCAAGAGCCTTCGCTCTCGAAGAGAAGTTCGCCTTGCTCTCTGTGACAGCCATGGCGAAAAACCTGTCAAGGCACTATGTGGTCTCCAGCCAAAGAGCTCACTCACCGCAAACGCCAAATGCCTAGCAAGTCAATGCCAGTCGGAATATTTGCCCTCATAAGTAGGAACAGCAAGTTCAACATCAGTAACATGCACTTGACGGCGCCCGGCAAGTATTTCACACGACACTCGTGTTTTGTCTTGTTCAAAAACTCACATGACACCAGACAAGAAAGTCGGTGTCACTTCAAAAACCAGGCCAGTGCCCGAAATTCGTACATGTGCCACCGCGTGGACCGGTGGCATCGCACACTCACGCACATCATGAAACCCGCAAGGGTCTGCCAACTGAGCCGAGTGGGTCCAGCTCATCAATTTCATGCCGCGCAGTCCGGCTGACCACAAGTGCGCAAGCACATCAAGCACCACCGAGTGATTCCGGCGAGCACCGCGTGTACCGGCTTCCACAAGTGCGCAAGTCACTTGAAACAGTTTTGGCACATATCTGCCATAAACCTAGGCCTCTCAGCAAGCCGCTCAAACTTCCTTGAGCACTTCTTCCCACAGCGAAGTCGGTTCCCGCCCTCATCAGCGAGACGATGAAGCTTGCGGGACGTGATGTGCCTGATGTACACGTGGGCATCAGGGTCACCCACAGCTAACTCGGCCCAGGGCGGTATGAGCTCATTGGCAGCCGCCTCCTCAGCACGAAGGTCCTGGACGTTGTCCTCTTCATCCAGCGACGCCTCCGAGGCCGACGGTTCATCATTGAACTCTGGTCCTGGTTCACGCTCGGGGTCAGTTGGGAAATAGCCCGAACGAGTTGTGTCTGGGAGGAACTTGCCGATCCTTATGTCAGCAAGAACGTACTCAAGGGACCTCAAAGCAGGTGCAACATTGTCACGCCCATAGATGTGCATCATCTCATCCTGCGGAGCCTTGTGATAACCCAGGATCCTCCGGTGCAGTGCATCAACACCGTACTTTGACATCCATGACAAAGTCGTAGCTTTGCAGCTGTGCGTACCAAGTTTCGAGGCCTCGGGGAAACCTCTGGCAGACAGGATCCCGCGCAACCAACCAGCGGCTATAGTAGCCGTGGGCGGAACACCTGACCATCCGCCCTCCTGACCGCGGCTGGGCAGGAGAGGAAAGTCTTCTCCCTCGGGGATGGCGAGGTCCTCACGAAGGCTCATCCAAGCCCTGAACCAAGGAACGGCCGCCACCCAACACAACGGCCCCACCATAGGAAGCAAAGCTGTTTTCCTCTCCAAGGAAAAACTGGTCTTCGTCCTTGAAGTCTCACCCTGAAAGTACCCTGCAAGCGGCCCCATGAATGAGTCCGGCTCGTCCAAAACCAGATTCATCAGGGCCTGGCCATCACTGTATCTAGCCCGAAGATAAATGCAGAGTAAGAAGAAGCCTGCACATAGCCTGTCCACATCATTATCTGACTCATCCACAACAAGGCGCTCCAGCCTCTTGACCATAGCGACTGTAAGTGGTGGCTTCTGTCGCCTCTTCCTCTTTTTGAGAAAAGAAGCACGCGCAAGCCCTGTAAGGCGGCCACTGCAGAGGGAGTCCGAGAAAGACTCAGCACCCAACACGAACTTGCAAAATGCCAGAGATGACATAAGTGCCTTGCCGAAAGACGGCGCGCTGGAATCCTCCAAATCAAGAAGGAACTCATACACGTCTTTCTCTCTCAGTGGCAGCGGCTGAAGTTTCCGCTTCTTTGCCCACGCCACGAAACGGAGCAAAGGACCAGCACGATTGTGAAGCGTTCCGGACGCCTTGCCTGAAAAAGTGTGCAGCAAACCTTGCGAGACTGCGGAATCCTGGCAAGAAGCGGCAGCACACCTGCGGCCAACATCAAATGTGAGTGGGTCCTCAAGGACGATTGACACCCACTTCTGATCAGCACGTAGCTTCTTATCAAGGTGCTCGCTCCAAGAATCCTGCAGCCTAACCCTACCAATGGCGAGTTTGACAACGGATGCAATGGTAACCTGAGAAGATACCACCTTGGGCACCGGCACAGTCATGACAGGCGGCATGGGCCCGCTGGCACGTGGCATCCCGGCAAACAAGTTGGCAGAGGGCTTAAGCATAAAATCCCAAGACCGAACAAACCCAGTCCTATTGAACTTGCGCATGCAAGACGCCAAGTGAGCCTCATAAGACCCAAAAGCCATAGCAGCATCCCTCCGGCGAGTGGAGCCTGTTTCAGACACCCCATCTTCAGAAAACGCAGGGGGCACGGAGCCGGAGGCCAAGGTCAAGGTCATCCGCTGGTCACGCGAGACCAACTTGCACACCCTCTAAGAGGGAACGTCGAAAAGAGGGCCCGGTTAAAAGCAGGAGCAGTTAGGGCCTCAAGCCCAAGTTCAGAAAAATCCTTGCAAAGCTCAGCTCGAGCACTGAGCTGCATACAAAGGCCGCGTTATCCGAAACAATCAAGGCAATGCGCGAAAGAAACTGCAACATCGGCACAAGTGCAAAAACAAGCATGCCAAGTTTTGAAACCAAAGTTTGAAAATGCTCGCCACAAGCTCGCAGTCCTTTTATGAAAAAGGGATCGCAGATGGCGCGAGCTTGTCTGCTGAGATCCCTCTTTCTTCACGAGCTGTTGCCTTTGCGGTCTTTGGGTGAAACTTTTATTTTCACTGGAAATGTCAAAAGCTCGAACACGTACACAAAGGCATAACGTATTTCGCATGCAAAGAAATCGGGCATATTCCACCTCGAAATAAGTCCAACCTTAAAGAATATTTAAAACTTCAATCTCCGACTGTTTTCCTCGTGGGTCGCATGGGGCATTCGAAAGATGTCTCAGGATACACTTCTTGACTTGACTTCCAAGTGAATGCGGCACATCCCGCAACCCCCGGGTGGGTGGGTGGGAGTTTCAAAAATCGACGTGCCCTACCTCAGAGCACGAACCTTGCGGCATCACATCAAGATGTCACAACACAGACATGCGTGATGCTTTCAAGTGGCAAGGTAAAAACTGAAATCGAGCAGGATTTTAAAGCAAAGCTATAAAATCCAAAAATCATTTCCGTGAAAATAATACCGTACGCAGGCTGGCTGCGAAGGTGGCTTATTTTCACTGGAAATGTTAAAAGCTCGAACACGTACACAAAGGCATAACGTATTTCGCATGCAAAGAAATCGGGCATATTCCACCTCGAAATAAGTCCAACCTTAAAGAATATTTAAAACTTCAATCTCCGACTGTTTTCCTCGTGGGTCGCATGGGGCATTCGAAAGATGTCTCAGGATACACTTCTTGACTTGACTTCCAAGTGAATGCGGCACATCCCGCAACCCCCTGAGCACCAGTGCCCCATTCACTTGAAGACCAAAGGGAGAGCACGAGCGAGCAAAGCAGTATACTTCGGTCCTGGGCACACCTGCGATCTGTTGTCCTCTGGATGGATTGTCCGCTGGGTTCGACAACGATGGGACGCGATCCAGCCAACATATCACTTCAAGATCTTCTTCGCTACACCGGTCCGAGGTGAGTTGACTCTACAAGCCTGCTCACGGCTCTTCCCACCTGCAATGGTTGTATCAGTGGGAGCCCCGTGCTGGCCACACCACGTATGCCTACCCGTTTGTGGAGGAGCCGGTCTATGGTGGCAAACTGGATGTCATTGCCGCCTCCTCCGGTGGGTTGCTTCGGATCACCAGTACGGATGAGCAGGGCATCCACCGCTGCCTCAGTAACGTTAACAGATTCTGAATGCCCTTCTTGCTGTCCCTCGTCAATGACGAGGGCGCGGCACCGAACCAGCGCCTTCAAGACCTCAGATCGCCAGCGGCCTAGTTGCTGTGCCCCGGAGCCTTGTGTGATCAACAAGATGCGAGCCTCCGCCAGAGGGGGAAGTGTATCATCGCTCGCCGCCTCAGCGGAGCCTGTCCCCTCGTGCTCGGCAGGTTCCGTGCTTTTGCCCTTGCCCTTAGGACCCGCACCATGTGCAAGCGGCACATGATCGTGTACGGTGGAGAACAGCTCCTGCTTGCCAGAGACCCGTCGGACAACCATCAGGCGACGCAGCCAAACCGGCGCATCAGCCAAGATGTTGTGGGATATGATTAACACGGCCAGCAACGCTGCATGTTGCTGGGACGTCCACACCACTGGGAAGTCCAGGACGGCATCAATACACATTAAGGCAAGCAGGAGCGAAAAGGTTTTGGACGCGCCTGGACAACCTAATCCGGAACTCAGGGTTGAACCCTGGGTTCGAACTTCTCGAACCCAGGTTGAACCTGGAGTTTGAACTCTATGTTCAAACACCCTGGGTTCGGGAACTCTATGTTCGAACCCGGGGTTCGGGAACTCTATGTTCGAACCCTGGGTTCGGGAACTCTATGTTCGGACCCGGGGTTTGGAGAACTCCATGTTCGAACCCCGGGTTCGGGAACTCCTCCCCCTTTCCCAGAGAGTCCGAACCCTGGTGCTGAAACCCTCCGCTCAGGTGCATGTCGCGTGCCGCGATACCAAGGCCCAAGGAGGCCGCAGCTTGCAGCATAGGCAGGACTTCAATCAGTGCAAAGCACGACTTAAGTCATAGGCCAAGCAAGCACCAACAACGTTCGCTAGGCTGCTAAAAAGAGAGCTTTCGAAATTCGTGAGTCATGGCCGCCCCCGCTGACAATTCTGCAGAGTCTGGGTCTCGCAACCCTCAGCAGGGTATGAGCCCAACGCAGGCCCTTGAGGGTCAAGAGATTCCTGCGCAACCACAAGATGAGGAGCGAAGACTGCAGACAGAGACTCAGCTTTCCAATGGTGTTGGGCCGTCTTTGGCCACTCTTGGAAATGCGGAAGGGAGTCGAGAGGCAGAGCATGGTCGGCAGGAGCGGGCCGAGGATCGCGCGCATCATGACGGAGCCGGAGCAGGAGTATGCAGATCACGATCCCCCTACCAGGGGAACCGGACCCGCCGCGTCAGTGCATGAGTCAGCCGCACCGGAGCGCGATGGGACGTTATACGATGAGAGTGGAACGGCGCTGTTTGACAGGTTCAGTCCGTCGCCGTTGCCTGGACAAAGCCCAGTGGTTGGACACGCTGGTGGATCTTCGAGGTCCACGTGGTTTGGTCGCCTAGGCGACTACATACAGAGACGAGTCGAAGTGACGGCTTGGTCTTCACCCCCCAATGCGGGAGGCAACCCCGGCACGGCTTGGCCACGACCGGAAGGAGCAGCGGCGCTAGTGGCGCAGCCAGCGCGGCATGCGGACTCAGCCTCAAGTGGATCAGCTGGGTTTTCAGCAGAAATGGTGCAAGCAGAAGTGGCGAGACAGCTGGAGAATGCAGTGGGTGACATCATGGATCGCCTTCAGGCAGAGCGACAGAGGACGATGGAGGCCACGAGCGAGGCTCAGCGGCTACGCCAGCAACTGGAGTGGCATGAAGCCCAGATGGAGCAGCGGATGGTTCCTATGAGGGGCCTACCTACGGATGCGGAAATGAGGATGATGGAGGCGTGTGGTTCTGGAGTTCAACCGGGAGTTTCCACAGATCAACCTCTACCTGGTCCCCCGAGGCCTACTACACTGCAAGGCCCGCTACCTCTTCGAGATAACGAATTGAGTGGTGGTCCTTCTTTCGGAGATTTGAGCTTCGGCGGGTGTCCAGGCGTTCCTTCAGCAGTACGTCCTCCTCTTCTGAGTCTAGAGGGACAGCAACCTTTAGGTTCGGGAGTTCAACCCGGAGTTTCCGCAGATCAACCTCTACCTGGTCCCCCGCAGCCGCTGCCAACGGCAAGTACACGTACACGGTCACAGTCACCACTTGGTCCTAAGGCGTTCTTCCATGGTCCGATCACGCAGGACCTTTCGCACACGAGCGCGGCACGGTGGACCACGATCATGAAGGACGTCTCCACTTGGTACCACCAGTACAGCTCCGCTGCGCCTCTAGCTCGCCTACAACTTCGACCTCAGGCGTCACCGGAGCTGACGAGGCCAGAATGGGCAAGGGTTGAGAGACGGGCTACGGCGATGATGCTGAGCGCTGTGCCTCGGGGTGTCAGAGATGAAGTGATAGCGCATGGCCAAGTGACATCCTTGGTGTTACTTTGCAAGCTTTACGCCATGTACCAGCCGGGGAACTTACAGGAGAAAGCCTTGGTCCTGAAGATGTTGGAGCAGCCCGATGAATGCTCGAAGAGGCTATGGAGGGGCTTCGCAAATGGAACTTGTGGAGGAGAAGGGCCATGTCGATTGGCATAGCGGAGCCGGATGCCTCGGTCCTCTTGAAAGGGCTTGATCGTATTACAGGGCCCATCGTAAGGGCCAATCATGAGCTGTCCTTCCGGGTGAGCTTGATCCGGAGCACGCTGCAGGTGGATGTGAGCCCCAGCTCGGGGAGCGTCACGACGTTCTTGCAGCATCTTCAAGCGGAGATGGAGCAGCAGGCCCGCCTGGGGGCAGCCAGGCCCAATGAGGCCTCTACTTCGATGAGGGCTTTGACGGCGGGTGTGGACTCAGGGACGCCTTTGACCCCGTCTACTGCGGCGCCTACTACCGGAACACCAGCTCCTTCTACTCCGAGGGCTTCAGGAGGTGTGTGCAAGTTCTTTGCGGGAGATCGTGGGTGCCGACGGGGGAACAGTTGCAAGTTTCCTCACACGTGGAATGCTATGGACAAGGCGACAAGAGCTAAAAAGTGCTTATGTTGTGGGGCCGTTGGACACAAAGCTCGCGAATGCAAGGCCCCAGGAGGAGGAGCTTTCTCACCAAAGGGCTCTTCGAAGGGTTCCACCGTTGGGGCCAGCGACACCGGTGCCACGACCAGTGCGGCCGCAACTTCTGAATCGCCCACCCGACGAGTGAATTTTGAGCCGGGCGATGTCCAGGTGAAAGTCATGAAGGTGATCGAGGAGGTGCGGCACATGAAGATGTTCCAACCTTTGGTTGCGGCCCTGGACTGCTGGAAGGACAATGGTTTCTTTGGTTTGGCAAAGCCCCGCGGTGCGCTGCTTGACTCGGGCTCCACTCATGTACTACGCCAACCTAAGGACCAGCTGGAATGGGATCGTGCCAAACAGGTGAATGTCCAGTTGGCAGGAGACGCTGTGGCGGCTATGAAGCAGACCGTGAGTGGGAGTCTGTTGAGTGCTGAGGAGTTGGCTCAGGTGATTGTGCCCCTGGGCAAGGTGATCTCCACCCTCGGTTACAAGCTCGATTGGACAGCGGACCACTGCATCCTGCATGGCGAGGACAATGAGCAGCTGGTCTTGGATGTGACAAACGGCTGCCCTGAGGTTAGCCATGCTGTAGCCCAGCAGTTGATTCAGCGTTTGGAAAGGCACCAGCTCCCGGAACTGGAGAGTAACACTCAGTTATCGGTGAAGGCCCTTAGGAAGTTGATGAAGACGGGGAATGTTCTTGAAGCCCGAGCTGCTGTGGAAAAGGCGGCGTTTATCAACTTGTGGACTTTTGACAACATGTACACGCCTCATTTTTCGGCTAGGTTTTGTAACCACGTGAACCTTTTCCACATGTCATGTGTCAGGAGTGCATATGGCATGGAACCGTACCGCAGGCTCTTAGCTGCTTGGAAAAGACCGTTCTTTTGTTCATGGTAGCGGAGCTGGTCTGTACCAGCTTCGGTCCACGGGGGTTGCGTTTAGGTTTCTGTTAGCAGGGGCCATCGAGCTGTGAACCTTTAGGACTTTGTTCGGCGAAAGTAGACGTAGCTCTGCTTGTCGCCATCTCAGCCACGGCCTGCACTTACAACTCAGTTGAAGCTGTGAAAGAGCGTGTGCGACAATTGTACCTGGAACAGCTTTTGCAGAGACCTCGGCCAGCCGGCCGTACAGGACAAGGCTGGAGTGATATCCTTGCGGGTATACAGAAAGTTTTCGAGAATCGTTTGAGTACTCTGCATAACATCCTGGACGTGCACCGCTTTGCACTTCGCGCGCTGAGAGATACGCACCTCAGAGAAGTGTATATTACCTCTTGTGCAGAGGACGCGGCTGAGTTTGCAGTGCCTAATTCTGTGGTGGAACAGTTTGTTTTCGCAACTGAAGAGGGAGCCAATTTCGAGAAAGATCTACAATTATTTGATCAGACAACGCAATTTGCGAGTTTGCAGAAGCCCCTCGAGAATCCCATTGATTTGGAGCCCCAGAACCGCAGAAAGTTTCGCAAGAAGCTGGAGAGTGCGACTTGCCCCGTGGAGATTGACCTTGATTGACCCCAATACCTTTTACCTTGAACAATGGCAGTACCAGGTGCAGCGGGAATAGATACAGACACAGACGAGGAGCTACCACCGCTGGAGCCAACGCATCCAGCGAACCCCTTCAGTCTCGTGGGAGCATCTCCCGCAGCTTCAGGAAGCCTGGCCATGACAGCCTCGGACCTTCACATGTTAATGCAACGCATGTCAGAAGCCACACAGGCAGCGAGTGCAGCAGCTCAAGCAGCTGCGACAGCATCTTCTTCTGCAGGTACGGTCGGGGCCAGACCTTTTGGGCTGGGCGACCTTTCGAAAATCATTCCGAAGCCGGAGAGTTTCAAGCCTGCTTCTCGAGAAGAGGAGTACTCTTTGTGGCCAGCATGGAGTTGGTCAATGGAACAATACCTCGCATGCCTTGACCCGGAGTTTTCGAGTGAGCTTCTTCGTTATACAAAGCAGAGTGAACCTGTGCGTCTCGAGGATATGTCTGATCAGACAAAGGCCAGAGCGAGGCTGCTCTACGGTGTGCTTAATGGATTGCTCTATGATCGAGGCCGCCGCCTCCTCAGATCCGTTGTCGGTCAAAACGGATATGAGTCCTGGAGATTGCTTTCCCGAGACCTTATGCCTCAGTCTCGTAACAGAGTTCTTGCTTTGCTGCGTACAATTTCAGCATGGCCCGCATTCGATGCCAAGCAGGGCCTATCTCAGCAGCTGGTTCGACTGGAGACTGCTTTCGAGGAGTATGAACGATTGGTTCCTGGAGGCATACAAATGTAGTCGTCACTGACGATAGCAGTTACCATGATCTGAGAGAGCTTGTGCTGCGCTGGGATGGTGCCCAGACACGTTGGTCTTCGAAAAGGCTTGAAGCAGGACACTGGAGGCCCTCAGCCTATGGAGGTTGACAGGCTTGCGAAAGGCAAACCAGATGGCAAAGGCAAACACGGCAAAGGCAAGAACGACAAAGGCAAGCAAGGCAAGGGCAAGCAATGGGACAAGAATGGCAAAGGTGGCAAGCATGGAAAGTGGCAACAGCAAGGAGGATGGCAACCGCAACAGCGAGACTCTTGGAACAACAACAAAGGCAAGCAAGGCAAAGGCAAGCACTACAACTACGACAACTACACTGGCAAGGGCTACGGTGGCAACCAATGGCAGGATCGTCGAGTTCAGCAGGTGCAGGACCAAACAGGCCAGCAGACGCAGCAAGTGCAGCAGCCTTGGCAAGCTCCACCCCAGCCTAGCAACGCTACAGCAGTTCCGAGTTTCAGCAGTGCCGCCAGTCAAGCATCAACCATGTCAACTGCAGTGCGTCGAGTGTTTGCTGAGCCGTTGATTGTGGATGTGAGCGATTTGGAGCTGCCTTATTATGGAGACTCTTGCATACGTATGCTGCAGTGCCCTGAATACAGACTCGATTCTTCTGACAACGACGATGATTGGTGCAGGGCGCCTGATGAGCCTGTATTGGTTCTGCAAGCGAGCCCTTCGCCAGCTGTTCGAGCAGTGCAGTATTCATCTGATGCCACTGCACAGGCCGTCATAATCGATTCTGGCGCGGTGTTAAAGAACGGGCTTCACTAAGGGTTCCTACCCACAAAGACTGTCGGACACTTTTGTTCCTGGGCACGGTGTGTCCTGGGGTCTCGAGCCTGCACGTCGCGTGTGCGTGACGGCTGTTCCTGTACATTAACTGTACTGCACTAGTTGTGTTACTGTTCCTGGCAGAATGTTTAACACCCCGCCTTCGGAGTTAGCGAAAGTTCCTCGACTGAGGTGACTCCGACTTTTCCTTGACAAACAGTAAACACACTGCAGTTCCTTTTCACTTGCAAAACAAACACTGTTCCTCATCGCAAACGTATGCGCACGTTCACTCGCAATCCTCTCCAAGGTTGCTCGACTGTACAAAAGACGTTCCTGCACTTTACCTAGATCACCACAGAAACAAAAAGGGCTGTGCCACGGTTCCTGTGTCCTGCTGCTTCTTTCCTCGGCTCTCTGGCCTCAGTACTGCTCGCGGTTCCCTTTGCTTCACTGGAAGTTCACTTTGCCTTCCTCTTCGCTGTCCTTAGCTTCCTCTTGGTCGTGAAGCTGTTCCTTTAGCCACTCTTCTTTCATCTTTGCTTGCGCTTTGCACTTTTCCTTTCCTTGCTTGTCCTTTGACGCTGCTTTCCAACCTGTTTCCTTTGATCCTGAATACCAGTACCACTGTGCCTTGGCTTCGTTCCACTTCCACTGGTATTTCCTGTTCTGGAAACTGTAGACTGCAAACCAGTTTCCTTCAAACTCTCCTTTTCCTTTTCCTTTCATGAACGATGCTTCGTTCACTGGTCCTTTGGCGGACAGTTCTGGGTCGTCCTTGTCTTCTTCCTTCTGCTTGTGCTGTGTGACGTTCGGTGGCTCCTTTCCTGTTGCTTTTCCTGTTCCTTTTGCTTCTGGCTTCTCCTCTTCCTTTGCTGGTGTTGTGTCTGGTTCTGTGGGTGCCTGCGACCCGGCTGCTGATCCTCTGCTCTCAAGCTCCTGTGTAAGGCTTGCAATCCTTTCTTTATCCTCTTTGCGTTCCTTCATCATCTCCTTCATCATTTCTTCAAGCTTCTGGATCCTGTCTCCTTCACCTGATCCTGTTGCTGTTGTTGCTGCTGCCTTCTTCTCTGCTTCCTTCTTGGCAATGTACGCTGACGCTGCCTTTTGATCTTCCTCTCTTTTCTTCCTGGCTTCCTTCTCCTTTCTTTTCTTCTCCTGCTCCTTTCTTTCCTTGTCCTCTTTGGCTGCTGCGGCTGCTGCTTTCTCCTCTGCCTCCTTTGCTGCTGCCGCTTCGGTCTCCTCTTTTTCCTTTGCTTCTCTCTCTGCTTTGGCTTTGGCTGCTGCTTCTACCTCTCGCCTTCTCTCGGCGGCTGCGGCTGCTTCCTGCCTTGCTGCTTCCTTGTCTCTCTTCTCCTGCTCGTCTGCTGCCGCTTCCAAAATCAACCTTGCTTTGGCAATCTGCTCCTCTTTTGCCTTCTTCTCCTCTTCTGCTTTTGCTTTTGCTTCTCTTTGTTCCTTTGAGATCCTGTCCTGTTCTGCCCAGTATTTGCGATCATCTTCATCTCGAGGTCGAAATCCTGTGCTTTCTGCTCTTGCCTTTGGCTTTCCTTTTCCTTTTCCTTCCTTCTTTCCTTTTGTTCCCTTCTCGTGCTTGTACGTGTAGTCCTTGTCGACCCACTGCTTTTCTCCTGTAACTCTGTGTTGCCTGTAGATCTCGCCGTTCTCGGAGTATTCCTTCCATTCGCTGGCGTAGTCGTAGGGGTACGGAAAGAGCTTCTTCTCCTCTTCCTTTTCCTTGAGCCTTTGCTTGCTTTTGGCGTTGATCTCCGCGATCTTCTTCTTTCTTCTCTCTTCCTTTGCTTCCTCACTTTCTTCTTCCTCTGCTGCTGCTGCTGTTCCTTCATCGGGGTACTCCCCGGGATCTTCTCCTCCAACGTAGCTACTGACGTAGGCCTCGTTCTCGTTCTCGTTGTCCTGCTCTCGTTCCTGGATGCCCTCGAAGTAGCCTCGGTCCGAATATTCCTTCCTTTCCTGGGACGTAGGTGACGTAGCTCTCGACGGTGCTGTTCCTTGTCCGTGTCCTTCACGACGTAGTTCACTTTCTAGCTCTCGGTCCTTGGCTTCTCTTTTCCTTTGTTCTTCTTCGTCTTCTTCCTCTTCTTCTTGTTCCTCTTGCTGCTGCTCGTAGAAGTCCTGCATCATCTGGTTCAGCTGTTCCTTTACGGCGTCACATGTACCTAGGACGAAGGCCATGTGTTCCTTGACCTGTTGCCGGTCTCTGTCGTTCTGTTCGGCCATTTCCTGAACCTGGTGCTTGACGTCGTAGATTTGTCCTGTCAAGGACTCCACACAACCAGCCACGTGTTCCTGGCTTTTGCGCAAACGCGCAGCTTCCTCTGTGTTCTTCCTGATCGACTCCGCGATCAAGTTCCTTTCATCAGAAGCGTTCCTTAAGGCGGTCGCCGCTTCCTTCAAAATCTCAAGTTCCTTGAAAACTTCCGCTGTGTTCTTGCTCGAACTCGCGCTTGCTTCCATGGCTCCTAAGGTTCCTTGGCTCTGTCCTTCTACGGTCCTTTGACCTTCTGCTACCGGGCGAACTAGTTCCTGGATACCTGAGCGTTCCGCGAGTGTTCCGCAGAGTTCCTTGAGCTGCGAAAGCATCTCACAACATGTTGTTCCATGCGCTGTTCCTGCAGACGTTCCTAGCTCACATGCACTCGTGTCACTGCACATGCCGTCCTGCTCACATGCACTTGCACAACAGAAAACATGTTCCTGAAAGTCTGGCTGAAACTCTTCTTCCTGAACACAACTCTCAAAACACTGTTCCTTGACACTCTGAATCTGAAGACTGTCTGAAATACCTGAAATTCCTGCAAACAACAAAGCTGCAAAAGACAAAGTTCCTGGGCTCTTGATCATCCTTACAACTGCTTTAGCTTGTGTTTGGGCCTTGTGTTCCTTGAGCTCTTCTCTGCCTACTGGTTCGTTCTCGCTGGTTTGAAAACCTAGCCAGTGCAACAACAGTCTGATCCTTTTCGCTGAAAGGGGCTTGGTACCTATGTCGGCTGTGTTCTCCTTGGTTCCTACTGGGTGAACACTAATTGTTCCTTCTTTGTGGAGGTCTTGAAGAAAAAGGGTCCTGATCTGCAAATGCTTGACTCTTCCTACACCTTGCCTTGTAATAATTCCTCTAGCTGCAGAAGAATCCATGTACAAGTGTACTTTGCATTGTTTCCTGGTCAAAAATTCTACTGCTTCCTTCAACAATATAGAATCTGACGCTGCTGACGCTCCTGCATAGTACTCTGCTTCACCACTGCTCAAGCTAACTGACTTCTGGTTCCTAGAAAAGGAGTAAATGCACTGACCGTCTAGGCAAACAATTCCTGAAGATGTTGAGCGCCTTGTGTCCTTCTTTCCTGCCCAATCTGAATCGCTGAAGACTTCCAAAAGGTGGTGTTCCTTGGGCCTTATTCCTGTAAAGTCGTAGTTACCATTCCTGATGGATTCATGGAGATTACTGAGTCCTCTAGGCGTTTTCCTGTACACTAAATGGTATCCTTCAGTTCTCGACATGTACTGCACTAGGTGGACTAAGTGTTTCCAAGAACCATGTGTTGGTTCCGACATCTTGGAGGCCAAACCTCTCACGGCAAACTGCACGTCAGGGCGGTCCTGACTGACATACAAGAGTATGCCAACGCTTTTCCTGAACGATGCTGCTTGTTCCTGGTTCAAGGTCTGAGTGTTGTCCTGTTCCTGCGACTCTTGGGTGCACGGAGTTGGCTTCGAGGCTTTGCTGGTAAGCTTCAGTTCTTCCTTAAGCTTCACAAGATACTTCGGGTCACTCGTGATGTGGAGCTCGTGATTGTGGTAGCTGAATTTCCTTTTAAGGAATCGGATTGTCTGGTGTGACTCTCCTACCTCAAGTTCCTGCTCTGTCAAGAAGGGGCCTTCAACCTTTAGCTCGTAGGTTTCTCCTAGCTTTCCTAGCTTGGGCTCTAGGTGCCTTGTTTTCCCTGCTGCCTGAATGTCATCTACATGCACAACAAGTATGCTGTTCCTGTCGTCACGAAACAAAGTAGGGCAAGCTTTGCTCCTATCAAAGTTCTGCTCTTTGAGGGTTCCTGCAAAATGATCGCTCCATAGTAGTGCTGCATCTCGCTGTCCTGGAAGTACTCTCAGCAGTAACAAACCTTCGTTCCTACAACTGGGGTCCTGGTCGCCAAACAGATCCACATATTCCT